CAACTCTGGATTTTTTTTCTTTTTCTTTTTGAGATGTATTTGTTTTTGTTTTATGTATATGCCATACCCTCAGAGGAGGAGAGATGCCTTAGAAGTAAAGTTTAAAGACAATTGTGAGCCATAAAGTAGGTGCTGAGAAATGAATGCAGGTCCTTTGTAAAAGCAGTACGTGCTATAAAATGCTGAACCAGCTCCTGTTGTTCCAGTTATGTTTATGTTTCTATCCCACTCAATTGAGAAATTGAAGGCATTAGCTATATTCAGTTCATAACTCTGTTCTCTAAAAGTGGCTTTCCTGAGTGGGTAAAGACAAGAACACACTGACTAGGACAGCCACACGGTAGAACCACGGTAGAGACTGGGGGAACTTTAGCAAGATGCAAACTTTGATGGCTCATGTAGTTTATTTAAGTATTACTATACCTAACAAGTTAATAGCTTGTAATGCTGTGCACTTGAACATCAAAAGGTGAAATTATTGGCTGGACCTCAATTTGTCAAAGTACAGGCAAAAGTATTATCTGCTCCTCTGAGAGCCAAGATATAAGGTCATCATGGGTAAAGACTAAATTCATATATTTGCAAGTTTTACCCCTGCAATGGACTTGAACTATAATTATATTTTAGTTGTGGCAACTGGAATCTTAAACATCTAAATCAATTTTCTGTATAAATGGAATCTTTGGTTATGGCATTCTTTTGTTATAAATTAAAACTACACAGCACTTTACATGTATGGTATATTTATCAATTTCCAGCTTTCCTTCCTGCTCACAATTGTTGTTGTCCTTAAGCTCAAATTGGCCTGTTGTGGATACGACGGTTTTTGGACTCTTTATTTAGGTCTTGGGAGGAAAGAAAACAATGTGTTTGCTTGCTGGAGCAAACTATTCCAAAGAACCTAGTGGGTGGGCCAGGATTTGGATCATGTCATTTATAGGTCTGCTTATTACATTGTCCAGTACTTTATCTTGAAGACAGCCCACCCACAAGGAAGGATTCTTGTGAAAGCTCTCCAGAGAATAAAAGCCTGCCATTCTTCATTACTCGTTCTGGACATTTACCACTCTGAGCATCTGAAGCCCATTTGCTTTAGCATTGTATATAATGCACAAAACTCTCTGCAAAAACAGTTTGTGTCGAGCATATAGCATATAAATCTCTCTTTCGACTTTTTAGTTGTATAAGCATTTCTCTACTATTCTGATGAGAAGTGTACACGAATGCTAAGAAAAACCTTAGAGTTCTCTTAAGTATATGAGTCTTTGAACACAGCCTATGATCTCCACTTGACCTGGCCCTTCCAAAACCACTTTTGAAGCTCTGTTTAACTGAAGCTTTTCCTAGAATGTCCTCACATCCTCTTGACACTTCAGCATCCATGCCTTTTCATTCATATTTAGCCTTAATCAGAGACTGAACAACATTTAATGCAGATCTAAGCTTTATTGAATTAGTAGGCATTATACAGAGATTGCAAGTCATTATTGGTCCAGCGAAAATACAAGTGTTTATTCTGAGGTGAAATGACAGCACAAATTGACAGCTTTACTGCTACTTGAAATATTTCTCTAAGGTGGCTTGCTATGGACAAAATCTCCCTCAATACCCATTCAACACAGTCTTTGCTTTTACTTCTCCCTTCAGCTGAGGGATTGACAATATCTAAAGGAAGCTTGCAAAGAACCCTTCTGTATCAGAGGTAGTTTTGTGCCTACATGATGCATGATAGAAGACATTTGAACAAAGGCTTCGTTAAAAAAAGGGCAGAAGAGATACACTAGAGCAGAGTTGAGATCTGTGAATTTTTTTCAGCTAATTGGTAACAGTGGTGAAAATATCAACCAAAATTTAGAATAGCATTTTTGCCTGTTTAGTAACAAAGCATGCAGTAGCCTGTGCAGACAATAGCTTTTAATAATAACATTACATCTGGCTTGAGCACCAAGGATGCATTTTAAAAAGTATAAAGTACATTTATATGCAATGACTACTGTAGTGGCTGAATTATGCCCCCCTTGAGAAGACATGTTCATTTGTGTGCTAATTCCAAGAATCTGTGATATTTACCTTATTCTGTTAGGCAGGTATGTGAAGTTGTAATTAAATTTAGGCTCTGAAAATCAGGATGTTATATTAGATAATCTATCTGGACCGGTCATCAAAACTATCCTTACAAGAGAGAAGCAGAGGTAGATTATATATACAGAGGGGAAGCTGTCAAAATGACACAGAGTAGTAAGATGAAGCCATAATCCAAGGAATAATGACAATCCCATGAGAAGATCCAAGGAGTAGATTTTCTCCTAGAGCTTGCAGTGGAGTACTCTCCTGCCAATATCATGGTTTTAGATTTGTGGCCTTAAAAACACTACAGAACCAGAAATCTACCATTTTATACCTCTGTGTTTGTGGGCATATGTTACAGTAACCATAGGAATCTGATATAAATTTTAGTATGAGGTGGGGTACTGCTATGACAAATACCTACAGATGTGAAAGTGGCTTTGGAATTGGATGCTGGGTAAGAGGGTGGTACAGTTGTTGAGAGTAAACTAAATAGCGACACTACAGCTTGCCTAAGCCAAGCCACTGATGGGAATGTGGATGTTAAAGGCATTTCTGGTGAGGAAATGAATACTGTAGTGGGAACTGGAAGAAAGGCGGTTGTTGTTATATAGCAGCAAAACCAAACCAAACAACAACATATCTGAATTGTCTCCTACTGCTTTATGAAAAACTGATCTTGATCTTGTAAGTGATAAAGTTGAGGAACTTGGCAGGCCAAGGGTTTTAGGTATAGATAGATAGTTGATTTTTTGCTGAGGAAAAAAAGTCTTAGGGGGGTAGAGAAAAGAGGATAATAGAGCATCCAATACATGAGACATGCCAGTGAAATGGGAGTTACTAGGCATACCATAGCAGTGGACAGTGGTGGAGGCTAGGGCAGAAGGATCACCATCATCATCAATGAGAACAACAAATCATGAAAATGCCATAAAGAAACTCATTACTTTTTATATTAATTATTAAAAAAGAGTCAGATAGGAAAAAGTGAAGAAAGAACCATTATGTCAAGAAGGAATTAGTACTTGATTTGGTAAATTTTGTTAATAGTGAAAGGTGATAAAATGAGGAAATTCTGTGTGAAGATGTACTTTGGAGCTAAGGAAAAGGGTGTGGTCTGCCAGCTTTTGAATAGTGGTGAAAAGATTGGGCACATATTTCTGGATTCATTCAACTATCTCAAGTACAGAGCTAAGCTATCTAGGAAAGAACCTGGATGTTAGCTTGCTTGGAAGAAGGGTCATAGAGCTATCATAAGGTTCAGAGTATGTGGTGAGGATTATCGTGTCTTAAGATGGCGGTCTCTAAATACCATCATCAACATCCTTACAGAACAGGCTGAGAGATATCAGGTACACAGAGAAGATGATATAAAAAGGATCAGAGAAAAATGGCCATAAGCCACTCAATGCCATTGGCCATCAGAAAATGGACAAAGCAAAGAAGGGGCCTCTGTTATAGCCTCTGGAGGTAGCATGAATGGTCTGATGTCCAGATGTCAAGCTTCTGGCCTCCAGGACCATGAGACAATAAATTGTTGTGGTCTTAAACCACAAGATTGATGGCCAATCATTACAGTAGCCAAAGGAAAATATTCTAACCAGCTAACTTGTTTTGTAATATTCTGAAGAAAATGTTGTAGAAAAGGGCATTTTTGATTTATGGCAGAAATAAACAAAAATACACAAAATACTTCAGCCTAATTTGGTTTTCTTTTAAAAAATGCCACTATGTACTTTTGGTTTTGGATAATACCTTTCAACCTAAAACAAAAAGTCCATGTGACCAGAACATGAGTTAATTATGTCCCCTGAAAGGTTTTCTAATGTTTGTGAAAAGCATGTGGAATGCATTTAAATACAAATATATAATTTATCAATAATAGTACTTCATTCATTCTTGTTTACAAACTAGAAAATAAGGCAAGTTCACATCTGGAAAAGGTGATATACATCAGTATCTCTACCTTGACCAGTTAGATAATATGGCAGGGCAAATGCCCCACATTTCAGTCAAAGTTTACATTTCAAGATCAATTTTTTACAGCCCCAAAAGCTATAAAAACAAAAACAAAATCCTCAAATAAGCCATACCACAATATTTCAGAAAATACTTTCTAAAACTGAAAATGCATACAGTATTTACATCAATTAGTAGAACCTAAACTTCATAGTTATTGTTTAAAAAGTGTGTGAAAGTGGTATGTTCTAAAGTGTGTGTGTGTGTGTGTTTTCACATAAGAACAAAAGGAAAAAACCTCAGACATTGTTACCTTCTGATTTTTCTACTTATAGCAGCTTCAGAGTATTTTGAAGTATAATACCCAAGTAAGAATGAGTAAAAGGCAACAGTTTAAATTACTTTACATTTGTAGAAAGAGTCTGGTCACTTGTTTACTTTATCTCAGAAGGTGGCTTGCCAAGCCAGTTATTAGTTCTTTTACCTAAATGTCTATAATATGCTTTGGTGGAATAGAAATAGAATTATCTACATAAGAAATATACATACAAGCAATCTTTTACAGCAATCACAATCATCTGCATGAATTAGTCTTGAAATTACACTCCAGAGAAGTTACACCAATTATTATTACAAATGCACATTGTAAGAGAATAGACAAGTTAAATGTAACTTCTGCTCTCTCACATATTTAAAACAATGCTGAGCTTCTTTATCTGTTAGCGTTGTTTTGGCAGCATCACTGAAATGTGTTAATAATATAAGGTAAGTAAGAATGATAATGTTAGAGAGGTTTACCTTGTTACTAGGGTATGGGTTACTTCAGTAAGAGATATAAACACACATACACAAACATACAAACACACACATACACACACACACACATACACACACACACATACATACACACACATACTGGGGAAGGATAGAGAGAGAGGGAGGGAGGCACAGCTAAAGGGAGGGCGAGGGATGGAGGAATGGAGGGGTGGGGAGGGAGAGAAAGGAAGAAAGGGAGGGAGGTAGAAGAAGGAAGTGAAGGAGGGAGGGCTGGAAGAGGGAAGTAGAGAGGGAATGGGGGGAGAGAATTGCTTTTTCTTTAACTACCAAAGTGGAGTGGGAAAGGGGTTAGAACTAGAAACCAACCGATTGACCTTTCAAAAGTTTCCTACTGCCTCTTGCATTAAAAAGTCACTTTCCTCCCTCTGTACTTTTCTGTAGTTCTGTTCCCTACCTCTAAGGGGGTGAAGGGAGAAAGAAGTAATAGAGGGAAGAACTAGGAATCTATATTTTTCTCTAAAATCTAAATAAAGGCAATAGACTTTCAGGCTCATTCCTAGAATACATGAAAGTGTAGAAGTTTTCTCAAAAATAGCTATATAAAGAATTTCTATAGTGCAGATATCTATAGAGAATTTGAAAATAAGGTTGAAATCTAGTGGATTTTGTTAAACTTTGGTTTAGTTTTAGCAATGGTAAGTGCCTGTGACACTGCTGAAACGTTAGAGTAATGGTAAAATTATTATTTTTCTGCCACATAGATGAATCCACTAGCTTTCACTTGAGATGGGTTCTAAATACCTTCAGCTGGGCTTCTCTTTCAGAGTATACTATTTGTCCCTTCCCAATCACTACATACATAGGATGAGCTGGAAGTAGACACTGGAAATTCTTCCTGTCTATCTCTCCCCTGCCCTTTATCTATTTTGAGGGCATGGGATAGGTAGGTCTGACCTAGAATTTCAGTTTTAAATTATTCGACAGACTGGAATGTTGGTAGAAGTCTTAGGATTCTTCCATGATTTTATACTTTGATCTTCACAGTCAGATCCTTATACACAATGACAAGTTATGTGCATCTTTAGAGAGGAACAAATGTTTTCTAATCATGACATCTGGGTTCAATTAGTGTACTTACAGTACACCTACAAATACACATTGCTTCACCCAGATCAGCTTGACCTTTGTGGAAATGCATTTATTTCCACTCCAACTCTTAAGTGTATATTTGCTCCTCTCAAAATGGATGATTTTGTTTTCTTAAATGTCTCCATTCTTCCTGGCCTCAGGAATCACTTGGATGACATGGCTCCATCCTGGCGAGAGCGTGATCTTTCCAGAGGGGGCCGTCTGTTATCTGTAAGACAAAGAGAAGAAAAAGGGAAAAACTCGGTGAGCTTTAGATCCTGACTATTGCATAGTGTCAGGTAGAGAGAGGTTTTCAAACAGTCTTGAAAAATCACTTCAAATGAATATGGAAATAAGCTGCAAAGAGCCTGGATCTGAGGAGTTTACACAGCAGCTGCCAGGCTGAGTTCAAGAGTTCTGCAATCAGCAATAAATGTTTTTTCTTGGTAAGCAGAGTCAGAGTGACAAAAGAAATGGGAAGAATTCTCTCTAGCACAGACCCTGTGGAGATAAGCAGGTGACAACAAAATTCCTTGGTAAAGATGTTAAACTAAAAAGATCTATGGACAGTGCCTTTTGTTGAAAAGCTCTCCAATTCCCCATGAGTTTTCAATTTGTGTGCTGGTTACCATTAAAGGACACCAGTGTATGCAGAGTGGAGGAAAAGAAAAAGGAAAAAAAAGACAGTTTAAAAAAACCAATGATTACAATATATAGCAATCAAAGCAGCTACTGAGTTTGCCTGATTGTATGATGTAAACAAATTCAATACATTATATAGTCATTATGAGAATGAATAATGAATGGGACCTATTCTTGGTCCCATTCCCCCTACCCATCACAGGAAGACTAATCACTGTAGAGATGACTGTTGGTGCAAAGCTTGGAAAGCAAAGTTTAAAAGCATTGAAAGTTGCTGAAAATAGTTTTAGCTCTAACAGGGAAAAGGCTTCCAGCTCTGTGCTGTGATGATCACTACTATATTATTATCACCTCTGTTTTATGCTCGGTTTAAATGTAATTGATGTGGCTGAAAATCTCTTCCTGGCAAAAGCATAATATACTTAGATTCTGTATTTAGAATGAGACTGGTCCCCAGAAATAATGACAACCACCAGCACTTACATAAATGCTAACACTTTACACTAGTTAATTTGCTAATTCACACAACATCCCCGGGAGGTAAGCCCATTTCATTCCATCCTATTATCTCTGCTTTAGTGATGAAGGTTACATAGCAAATCAATGGTATGATGGGAGATTATAATGCAAAGTTAATGCCTAAATGTCAGGGCTGCTTTGTTCAGAAGTAGATGTTGGAGCCTCCCAAGCTGCTATTCACTTCCTCCCTCAGATGATGATGCCCACTACTATATCCTGTCTCTCCATGGGGAGACTGGACTGAGAAGTGCTAGGTTTTATCATGGTTCCTTTCTAGGTTGTGTTATCATCTCTTGATCAATTCTAGTAGTCTATGGTCGATACTCAGCAAAATTTCCTTGCACCCATAACCTTGACCTCATTAACACCACCTTGTGAGTGCACTAAGCAAACTAGACAGAGCTTAAAGCATTCTCAATGCTTCAGAATGCAATAATATTACAGAAAGGTGAGAAACTAAGAGGCTTTCTGTACTTGGAGATACATCTGAGTGATGGATTATTTGGGTATTCTTTTGAAGATACCATTAAAAAATCCATTATTTAATTTGTGATATAGATCACAATTCAGCTAAAAATGTGAAGATAACATTCCTGGATAAAGGGCTTATTACTAAGATGGCACAGGTTTGCATACAGATTAGTTTGGGACTTCTTAGAGAACATTTAAAACTTAAGCTACAATCAAATACTTCCCATTGCATTGTAAGCGTTAAAACTTCACTGTTATTCTCAGATAGGAGAATGCAGAATCATGGCGGCATTCCCACAGGCTTGTGCCAGCTCTGAGAAAGAAGCTGGTACACCGGGGATCTTACAAGCTAAAGTCAACAGGTATCTATCTATGCTTCCCTCCAGGAATGACTCTGGTACTCCATAACATCACAAAACACCCAGTGAATCCCCTCCAAAACTGCAGCCTCACTGTGTTAAATGGCAGGATGTGAGGATTTATACCAATTTGCAACTTACTAGTGGCATTTGGTTTGAGAAAATGCTTTTCAGTCAAAGCAAACTGACTAAAGGACATTAAAGCTTTTGGAAAGTGACATAAGCATTGGTTCAGGACCTAAACTCAGCTTTATGGCAGACAGAAAAAGTGAACTATTTTAGATTTTATTTTCTATCCCTTTGATCCCCCTTGGGAACCTATTAGGTTCCCAACTTAATAAGATAATTACATAAAGAAGCATTTCTGTAAAGGTCACCTCTTATATTTTTGAAATGTCAACCTACAACCTCGTTTATTAACAAAAAGCCATTAGAAACAATGGCAACAATTGCTGATCTAAATGTTTAAAATTAATTTCCAGTTATTTGTATTTATGTTAAACATAATTTTGCCATAAACTGTATATTTGTAGTATGAAGTTCTCTGGATTAAGCCATAAGTGGAATTAAATGGATCTCATAAAGTACACATCCCCACCCCCCCACATTCATACATACTTCTGTATTTTCTTATGCATACATAGATTTTCCATCTGTATTCATATTCTAATGGCTAATAATCTAGTGATTGCAATTCCTCACAATTTCTCATGCTTAAAAGTGACTTCATCTTTGAACAAGAGATTGAAATACCACCAAATGGATTATTTGAAACACAACTTTTATATTTATGGTATTTAATACTAACAGACCTCATAAATCAGCATCACATTTATAGGAAAAGAACAACCGTTATATATTATTGCTGTCAGAGGTAAGAGACTAATTAAGGTGATTGCAAAATTCATGGCAGTTTTTGAAAAAAGGTGGAGGAGGTGGGTGGTATGCTATATGATTTGAAGGCTTGATAACACCTACTCAGAATCAAGTTGATTTCCAAGTCTACCAAAATTTGGTAAGCAAACCCAAGCTGATTCTCCTTATTCGTGAAAGGCTTGTCATTATGTTTTAGGTCTATACCTAAACTCTATGTGTAGGTGAGGAAATTCTGATTATGACTATGGAGATTAAAATCATTAAAGAGTGGTATTGTAGAGAAGGCTACACTTTTATGAAGATGCATGCTATGGAGGCAGATAGTCTTCAGAAAACCTTTCAAATCTTTCACCAAATTAGAACTTAAGCACATGTGTTGGCTTTAACATGGTTCTGTACCTTCTATCAGGCTACTCAGTTCAAACTAATAGCAAAGCTGTCCTTCTCATAGTTGGAAGAAGATCCATGTCTTCTCTAAGCACAAGAGCATGTGGCATCCATCTCTAAATCTTGTTGAGTATTTTAGTAAATGGGTTAAACTCTATGGTACTTGTATTGAATCCACTTGTATAATCATTTATTTATCGACTATGTAAATAACACATAAATATAGAAAATACACAAATGTCTTTATGTTTTAGGTTTATACCTAAACTTACATAATTTTGTTGTTACTATAGATGTCAAGTAAATTTACCAAAGGCTAAATACAGATGAGACACAGCCTAAAACAAAGAGGGCATAAGTCAGACTATAAGTGTCAGTTCTGTAGCATGTAACCTGGGGGGTGTACAAGCAGTACCCTAATAAAGTGTGTGCCAATGGCTGTATCTTGCATACTACATGAGATGGTCAAGTTCAGACTAAAACTATGATTACTTCTTCCTCTCATAGTGTGGCTTCCCTCTGTTGTTCTCTAAAGAATAATGTCTTTAAAAAATGTTGAGCTCCTATGGAGTTGCAAACGCCTTCAGCTCCTTCAGCCCTTTTTCTAACTCCTCCATTGGAGACCCCATTGGGGACCCCGTGCTCAGTCCAATGGTTGGCTGTGAGCATCCCCTCTATAGACTCCCCAGAGCCCCCAGGGACTAAACCACCAACCAAAGAGTACATATGGAGGGATCCATGGCTCCAGCTGCATATGTAGCACAGGATGGCCTTGTTGGGCATCAGTAGGATGAAAGGCCCTTGGTCCTATGAAGGCTCAATGCCCCAGTGTAGGGGAATGCCAGGGCAAGGAGACGGGAGTGGGTGGGTGGGTGGGTGGGTGAACAACCTCATAGAAGCAGGGGAGGAGGGATGGGATAGGGGATTTGGGGGGGGACCAGGAAAGGGGATAACATTTGAAATGTAAATAAAGAAAATATTCAATAAAAAAAAATAAAAGTGCAGGCCCCATATCCAGCAGTAGATGACCAAAACAAAACAAAACAAAATATTGAGCTCAAACTAAATGTGCAATGTGGTGTCCTATCCTCTTCTTGTAGTCTTCTGTTACTAAATGTCTAGAATATAACAATGAAAACATGATTTTAATGTCCATATATTTATTTATTTTTATTATGTAAATATATCATAATTTACTAGTAATTTCTCTCTTCAACAATATTTAAACTGCTTCCAACATTTTGCTATAATAACAATGTGGAAATGATCATCCTTACAGTTACATTCATATGTATGCTAATGTTATATCCATATGTATCCCATAGTTGCATCCATATGTATGCCTTGCATAGGACAGGCATTACTAAGGTATGCAGGAATAACCCCAAATGGTATTAGAGAACGGTTACATTAACTTAAATATCATTGGCAGTACATGCATGAATTTCTCTGTCTTATCTCTTTGGGTAATAATCTTTTAACGTGTACTAATATAAAAAATGAAAAATGACATGTGACTCATTCCTTTTGTATTTTTCCAAATCCTAGTGACATGGAACTTCCCATATATTACCATCTAGTTATTCTTTCTTGGCATGCTGGCCTTGTCCATTGGCTGTTTGTTGTACTGTCTGATTTTGCACAAGATATATTTAAGATAGAAACTGACTGAAATATATGTGTGATATATTTTTCTTGGTTTTTGTTTGCCTGTTGTAGATTTTTTAGGACTGTACAGTTTCCATTTGTTACTATTTTTATGAAACTAAATCTATGAACATTTATATATATTTTTATGTTCTTTTATTTTCAGCTTTCTCTAATAGACATTTGTCTAATATACATGTAGCTAATATCCAGACATTTGATAAGCATACAATCTTGACTCTTCATGGTCTTTAAAGTTTAATTAATTCACATTTGATTATTAAAATTACTTTCAATTCATTTTGTTTCACAATGCTGGATAACTTCC